TGAGTCAGTCATTGCAGAGCATGTCAAGGGTGCCATTGGACGTGGTGAGTACCCTTTGGCCAAGCTTCCAGATGGCATGATACAGGCCCCAGTCCCACAGTCGAGCAGTCCGACCCTGAACCTTTCAGAGTTCAAGTTGACTTTGCCATCCCCGAACAATGAGCTTCTGCTTCTGATCGACACAGTTGCCAGAGGGAAGCGTTGCAACAAAGTGACTCTGCCTGAGACAGAGGTATGGAAGGGACTGTCGTGGCCTGACATTCTGAAGAAGCACAATGATGAGTTCAACCCTTCAGGGACTATCCGTGCGAAGCGTGATGCAGATGTTTCAGTCCAGGAGTTTCTTAGATGGCATTCTGATTTGTCACATAGTTTTTCCTGGGGCTTAGTCTTTTTTGTAAACATTCAAAACAGATATGTTGATTTGTAGATCTCCAAGGTTGGACACCTCGAGCCGGGCATCATCGACACTGTCTTCAGTCCTACAGTCCATCAGTCCAGACATGGGCAGGTGCCAGCCGCCTGGCATCACAGCATATCAGTTTGCTGTGTCCAAGGATGGAAAGCTCTATGTCAAGGGCCTGACAGACTCGAACCTGGAGGGCCAAATGTTTGTGGTCCATGGCAGGTTCAAGCGAGGAGATGAAGCCAAATCTTTGCTGAGTGAAGGCTCTGATTCAATCATTGCCTACAGTCTCACAGCAGAGTCGGCAGTCTTGCTCAAGGCCAAGAATGGCAGCACATTGCCAGCAGCGCTCCAGAAGTATGCAGAGAAGCCGGCTGCCTTGGGGGGGATCCTCAATGCCATGTCAATGGCAGGATTGCCAAAAGTGGGGTTGTACCTCCACAGTTGTGAAAGTGAGACTACGGGGACAGATGTTGTGTGGACAGTCAAGGCCTTGGAACCGGCATGCCTCAAATGTACAATTGAAGAGCCAGGCGAGGATAGCAGCAGTCCCTTCCCGCCGCAGGAGATCTCTTTTGCAAAGCTGTCCAGTTATGTGGTACTGTCCCAGCTTACTCAGGTCCAGATTTGCTTTGCCCTTGAGTATGATGACCAGGCCAACAAGCTGAAGGGCATGTACCCCAGTGTTTGTATGAAAGATACAGTCAAGCTTCCAAAGGATGTCATTGCACTGATGTAGATGCAAGATCCAGACAGTCCTACAGTCCTACAGTCCTACAGTCACAGTCATCATATGAATCATTATTGCTGTTGGTCTGTTAGACTGTGGGCCTGTCTGCACACGTAGAGCTTGTAGGTGCAGCTGCAGTTGAGTCCCGACAAATAGTCGTTCCTCGACTGATTTTGCCAGCTCAGTTTTGTCAGCTCGGCTAACACAGCCAGACAGAGATGTGGCGCATCGGAGAAAACTGACTCTTGCACTGACTGTCAGTTGTAGCTGCACTGTCAGTGCCACAGTCTTGCAGCCCACTGAGCTGCAAGCTCATGTTTACTTTTAAAAGATTTAGGGTGTAGAGTTATTAGAATTTAAGGGTTGGGCCCTGGGGTTCTGGCTCTCGTCTGGTATCGTGGTCGTCGTCGTCGTGTCGTAAAGGACCCCTCTAGCGTTTAAGGGTTTAGGGTTTAGGGTTTAAAGAATTTGGAGACAAGGCTCTGTCGGCCTTTGGTTTGGAGAAGGCTCCTTCAGGAGAGAGGGTTGCAACTACTCTAAAATCTAACCTAACCCTCAGGCCTACAGTCCTACAGTCCTAAAAAGCCTTTCAAGACAAGGCTGTGTCAGCCTCTTTATGAAGCTCCAAAACCCCTAAACCCTCAGTCCTACAGCCCTACAAACCCAAAAACCCAGACTTTCAAGACAAGGCCGTGTCGACCTCCTTTGTTTGATAAGGCTCCAAAAACCCTGAAAAAACCTGATTGCCCAGGTCTGCCTCGTGGAAGATGTCCAAGATGCTGGGCACCAGGGCACAGCGGCTGCTGCAGCGGCACCAGCAGCGCCGATGTAGAGGGGCAGAGTGGGCTTGGAAGGTATGTTTTAAAGAGGCTGGGTGTTCTGGACTTCATATGCAGTTCCACAGTCTCACTGTCGACAGTGTGGACAGTGGGACTGTGGACCTGCACCTGAAGAGACTACATTCTGGACTGGGGGCCTGCCTAACACTGACACCTTATAGGTGTAGAAACTTACCTGGCCCTGAATATATTCCTTCCAGCAGTTTTTTTGGCTTCTGACTTCAGACTATCCCACTGTCTCACAGTCCCTGGCGCAATGGACGGAGATGTACCTTTTGACAGCAAGGTACTCACATACTGTGAGAGGGTGTCCAAGAGACGCAGAGTTCTCAACAATCTCAAGCAGACCGACATGTATCACCTCGCCAAAGCGAATGTGGCCAAAATAGCTGCCAAAGAGAATGATGGCAACATGAACTCGAACAATATGAACTCGAACAACAAGAAGTCTGGACCTGGTCTCCCCAGTCCTCCGATGACACCACGAGATATTGAGGACATGTCAAAGAGAGATTGGGAGAAACAGTTTTTTGTCTTCAAGACCAGACTACGTGAGTATGCCCAGTGCATGCAGGACTGATTACTTCCTTCTGCAGTCTCACAGTCTGGCAGTCCCACAGTCTACAGTCCCAAGATTGAGAACAAGCTGTTGTGTGTTTTGTTTGTGTTGGTTTTGCACTGCCAGACTGACTGCTGAAGAGGAGGTTCACACTTGTGGGCCCAAGGACTTTGAACTGTATTTGGGACCCATGTACAATAGCCACATGCACACAGACTGACTGTCTTGTGCAGTGTGCATGGAGTACAGTCAGTCTTGCAGTCCTCTACAGTCCTAGAGAATCAATATGTTGAACCAGACTTTTCAACTGCAAGACTGAAAAACTCCACTGCACAATGACTACAAGTCTCATGAGACAAGATCTCAAAAGTATGACAGTTGTGGTCTGCGTATGTTGCAAGGAGTCTTCGGGCAGTGCAGTCTCACAGTCTCACAGTCCATCTACTACCACAAAATAGCAGACTGGGTAGCCTGTATCATGATAGTTGGACTGCAAGACTGGTAGACTGCACATGGACCTGTACATATTGTACTGTTTCTGCTGCTTTCTGCTCATAGCACACTAGCTTGTCTCCCGGTCCTCAGTTCCACTGCTATTCAGTGCCATGGAGACAGATTCTCAAGAGGAGGGGGTATCTGACAAAATGGCAACACGACTGGCAAAGCGCATACGACTGGTTGAGCAGTTTCAGGCCACAGACGTGTACTTTCGCTCCAAGGTGCTCCTCATGCACTGTGACTCACAGTCGACTCCACCAGGGGACCCACCAGTGACACCGAGGATGGAGTTTTCAAAGAGAAGGTGGGAAAAGATGTGGTATGTCTACAAAACCAGGTCCCGCCTCTATGCAGAGTGGCTGAACTAATTCAGTCTGGCAGGCCTTCAGTCTTACAGTCCACAGTCCTGCATTCCTACAGTCCCACAATCCTACAGCAACAACAGGTTGTGAACTGTGGACTACATGACTGGCTGAAGACTGTTGTTCGAAATTATTTTGCACTGACAGACAACAACCAGGGAAGCCTGATGTGATGAAAAGACCTCTTTTAACAAACAGTCTCATCGTCGTCGTGTCGTAAAGGCCCCCCTCTCGTGTAGGCTCGTAATAATGTAACAAACAGTCACACAGTCCTACAGGCCTTGGGGTTCCAGGTTCCTCGTACAGTCACACAGTCCTACAGGCCTTGGGGTTCCAGGTTCCTCGTACAGTCACACAGTCCTACAGTCCTACAGCCTTGGGGTTCCAGGTTCCTCGTGTCGTCAGTGTAGCCGTCGTTTTCGTCGTCGTCGTCGTGTCGTAAGGCCCCCTCTCGTGTAGGCTCGTAATAATGTAATGTAACAAACAGTCACACAGTCCTACAGGCCTTGTAGTGGGAGATATAGGCCTTGAAGTTCTCAAAGAAAAAACAAGGGATGTTGGTTGCAAAGGCTGGAAGGAATAGCTCATAATCTCTCCAAGTCGGTATCCTAGTTACCCTGGCCTGATATCCTTGTTGTCTTGCCGACTCCTTTATAGTATAATTTGCTCCATACCCTATTCTAATTATTCAGGCCCCTATACTAAGCCGCAATAATACCCCTTATAGGAATCCTTGTAGATCCCCTTTTGAGGAGCCCTTTACAGGAACCCTAGTCTAATTACTTGGGCCCTATATTCAAGAGTTAGTAATACCATCCCTCAGGGTTTCTGGTTTTGTTTCCAAACTGCTCAGTCTTGTATTGCGAGCCACTCAAATCTGCGACGTGTTGACATGGTCCTTCCACCTGATTTCTGGTGAAAGCTTGCGTTCTTCTAGCTGATGCCTGCGTGATGGGTTTTTCTGCACCTTCAATTGCCTTTAGCAAAATACCGGGTTATGTAGAATAGGGATTATGCGGGGACTTTCGGTGGTTGATGTTTGAACTAGTCATTCTCCTACATTGTGCCATATTGGCTCACACTGCAAGCAGGACAAGAGGTGTGACTTGTTCACCCACCTTGCGGTCCAAATGATACGGGTCCAGAGGCTTTCAGGCGAAGAGTGGGCAGCCATAGACGTGGGCGAATTCCCTGACACCACGACTGGACATAGCCCGAAGCGCCATCTATATTCGCATGATGACCTGCCCTTGTGCATACAGAGGTTGTGGGTTTATGTTTTTTTTTTTAATGGTGTGGGGTTACCCCAAGAGCTTGCTTCTAATACCTGAACCCTCAAGCCTAAACTAAACTCTGCATGCGACCCTCAGACTGACCCTGTCCTTTTATGGAACCCTCGAACTCTACTACAGGGGACCTAATAATGCTAATAATTACCCATACTATTTTGGGGATTCCTTATTATTAGCATAGTATAATATACCCAAACCCTGTTCTACTTATCAAGGCACGTGATATGGAACCCTACTATAGATATCTTATAGACCGCTTATGGAACCCTTTAAAGGAACCCTATTTACATTCAACCACTCCAACCGCAGCCAAGGCAAGTGGCCGAGTGGCTGGGAGTTTTCCGCCCGGCGCTCCACCGAAACGCCGAGGCTCTGAAAGCCGAAGATTCAACGTGAAGGATTTTTTAGGGCTTGAGGGGTCCTTCAAGGGATCCAGAAGGGGGTAGTATATAGGGCTTTAGGGCTTAGGGTTTCAAGGTTGAGGATGTCGGTTTGATTTAGGATGCTAGGTCTAGGTTTTAGGACTACAGTAGGCTTCAGGGTTTTCGAGCTTCAAGGTTAAGGGTTTTTAGGAAGCCGGCTGTGGACTCAGGCTGCGCACAGTCTTCCGTGACTTAGGAATGAATGCGACTTCCAGTCGTATTTTTTCCTTCTGTTCACGTGCTAGCAGAGGAGGCTCCGCCCTAACAAACGTGAACGGTTTAGGCTTGAGGGAGTCTGAAACCTCACAATGAATGTGAGCTTGTAGTAGCTTATGATGATGGAGCTACAAACCCCTAAACTACGACCTCCCTGCGTTTGTTTCGTGTTTCGTCTGGCCGTACTTTCAGTGTCGGCGCTTCGTTGGCAGTCCCACGTAATCGTACTCCGATACTGTAACCCCAAAACCCTGCTCTGAACATTCAGGTCCCTACAGTCGGGTTGGGTGAAGGGCTTGACTTTGAGGCTAATTAGCCCCGAACCGGCGCTCCATGGAAATCCCTCGGCTCCAGCGATGGTTAGCTACCCTAAGGGTCCATGTGCCCAAAGAGTATATACTCTATAGGCCCAATGTACCTGTATAGAGAGTACTTTAAGGCCGAAGCATATACTGTTTGGGCACATGGACCTTAGGGCTGTCCTGCACTGGCAAACCTTCTGCCACCTGCACAGCCTCATCGACACACTCTCTGCCTACAGCTACCCCTGCGCACAAAGCTCCAAACTCCATGCCGCGAGTGCTAAACCCAAGCCCTGCGCCCTAAACCGCAAACCCGGATGCTAGTCTTGAAGATTTGATCTCCAAAAAACGCTAACATGGCTTGACAAGGCTTTGCTTAGGAAAGTTGTTCAATGGGACCTGTAATGAGGCGATTACTGGCTGGACAAGCAAAAATGTGCTCATCGGAAAAAACCAGAGAAGCGTAGCTTGCCACAGGCCTCCCCGGCCGCAGCTTCCCGCTCCGAGGAGGCTCGAGACCGGGCTCGGGCCGTCTGCTGATTTTCCCCTATATGGGAATATGCTAGTAATATCATAGAATTCTGAAGCATTATGTTTACATTCATATTCATATTCGGAGATTAAGCTTGGCGTGAAGTGCTACTGAAAATAAAAATACCAATGCCAAATGTAAGCACCCGTGTGTCTACACATACCTGCCTACCTACAGGCCCGTACGTTGTGTACATATTGTCAATAACGTACGCCCTAAACCCTAGCGCTTCCACAGCGCACCCGCGCAAATTGCTGGGTTTCCGCCAAAGCAGGCCTTGGGGTGTTGAACACACTAAAAAGCGCGGGTTCCTTATGGAGGCGCTTAGCCCTAAACCCTAAACCCCTCTAAACCCTAAACCCCGAAACCCTAAACCCTAAACCCTAAGCCTTAAACCCTAAACCCTAACCAGAAACCATCAGCATCAGGAGCCCGAGCCTCCGTCGGATCTCCAAGAGTGGCGCTGGGCGAAGCAGTTGCCCGTTTGGAAGTTAGGGTTTAAGGTTTAGGGTTTAGGGATCAGGGTGTTAGGAGTTCAGGGTGTTAGGGATCAGGGTTTTAGGGATCAGGGATTTAGGGATCAGGGTGTCAGGGATCAGGGTTTTAGGAGTTCAGGTTTTAGGAGTTCAGGGTTTTAGGGGTCAGGGTGTTAGGAGTTCAGGGTTTTGGGGATCAGGGTTTTAGGAGTTCAGGGTTTTAGGAGTTCAGGGTTTTAGGGGTCAGGGTTTTAGGGATCAAGGTTTTAGGGATCAGGGTGTTAGGGATCAGGGTTTTAGGGGTTCAGGGTTTTAGGGATCAGGGTTTTAGGGATCAGGGTTTTAGGGAGCAGGATTTTAGGAGTTCAGGGTTTTTGGGATCAGGGTTTTAGGAGTTCAGGCTGTTAGGGATCAGGGTTTTAGGGATCAGGGTTTTAGGAGTTCAGGGTGTTAGGGATCAGGGTTTCAGGCTTTATGGTTTAGGGTTTTATTTGGGGTTTGGGGCTTTAGGGTGTAAGGTTTTAGGGTTTTGTTAGTTTAGGTTCTAGGGCTTTGGGTTACGCGCTTTGGGATGTTAGGGTCTGGGGTTTGTTTCGGATTGGAGCCCTGACTGATAAAGCCCTGTCTTCCTGAAAACGGTTTGCATGACTCCTGTGGCATGTAACAAACTTGTTGCTTCATCAGGTGCCTACATGATGAACATTCATGTCTGAACACTGCCTTTGCGAAGGGTCGTCAGAGTTTTGAACCGTAGGTTTTTTTTGGTTTGGAGCTCAAGATGTGAAGGTCTGGGCTGAAGGATGAGGTCGTATTAGGCATCTAATGTAGGGGCTTTAATAATCACCTATACTATTGTGTTGGCCCCCCAAACCCTATTCAAATTATGAAGGCCCCGATATTACAGTGCCCTTATGGGTCCCTTGTAGTAACCCTTATAGGCCCCTTTAAAGGAGGCTTATTCTAATTATGAAGGCCCCTATAGTACACATCTTGAGAGGAACAGTGGGACTTGCCTGGCGTAGATCCCGAAGCCCCAAGATCTGCCAGGCCCTTACAAAGCCCTGCCCTAAGGGTCCATGTTGCCCCGAAAAGGCTTCCTTACAAGGGTTCTATAAGAGATCTATTGTGCTTAATTAGGGCATATAAGGTCCATGTACTCGAATAGTATACACATTGGGCACAAGGTACGTATATAGGGAGTACTTTAAGGCCAAAGTATATACTATCTGGGCACATGGACCCTTTATGGCTGTTACATGGACCCTTTATTGTCGGAGAGAGCTCGCGTGCCTAGATCCCATAATAAACCATAAAAACCCTATCCCGGCCCGAACCCCTAAACCCTTGTGGTCCTTCAAGTTCAAGGCGAACCCACAAACTCCTAAACCCTGAACTCCTAAACCGTAAAGGTATATCCTACGCCGGAGCACCGAAGCCAGGCCAAGTCCTTTACTCACCTGACTTCAGGGGGCAGGGGCAGTGTGGAGTTTTTTGGCTTTGAGGGAAATTAGAGTTCATGGTTTGGGGTTTAGTGCGTACAGGGTTTAGGGTTGAGGATTCGGGAATTGAGTTTTAGCGATACCTGGTATGAGTAACCTATAGACTATACCTTCTTTTGAGGAAGTAAGTATGAAAATAATAAGGAGCCCTAAAAAAGGTAGGTGTTTTAGAGTTGAGGTAGTTGTTAGTAGGGTTCGGAGGCCTTTCGGCTTTGGGATTATGCCGTTTCGGGCTCAGAGCTTCTGAGACTTACGGTCTTTCGGAAGTTGTTTCGCATCCTTCCTTACACTTGTCTGTTGTTTCGAAAGGTCTTCGAGGTGCACTGCCCCTGAAAGCTGGTTTGGTGGTTCCTGATGATTTCCCGACGTATAAGGGGCCCTATAACCGTATCCTAATTCCCACAGGGTCCAAGTATGATCATGGTATATACGTGGACCCCCAGAATACCCTATAAGTTATAAATGTATACCATATTGATACATGGACCCTTTGGGTATAATACCTTCTATGCGCCTGGAACTGCTGGCGACGAGGCGAATCCGCCAGCGCTTCGCCCTCTCTGCCAGCGCTTCGCTGCGGCGACCGCGGCGCGGGCGTCAGGGGCTGCAGGCGCTATCCCAAAGGGTCCAAGTATCATTATGGTATATACTTATGGGGTATTTTGGGGGTCTAAGTATCTACCATACCAATACTTGGACCCTTTGGGTATGATGGGACGCAAGGGCTGCAGTATCTTGAATAACAGGCTACTGGGAGGTTCATGGGTAGTTATAAGTGGGTTGTAAGTAGGGTAACCTTATTTATAACCCATGTTAGGGGACTTATAACTCCACTTATAACTGCCCATGAACCTCCAAGCACTGGGTAATCTGATGTATGGTTAGTACGTAACCCCTTATTTAAGTAAGCCCTGGCTGTGTGGGTAGGCAGGAGCAGAGTTTTCTGCAGAAGCCTGCGCATCGTGTCCTGCCCAGACCCGCAGTGCCTGTGGAATTTCGTACCTGAAGTCTTTTCGAAGTTCTGCAGATTTGGGACATCTATCCATATAGGCTCCATAGAAGTTCCTTTTTGGGATTATATGGGATCCTAAACATAAACCACAAAAAAGGAACTACTATGGAGCCCATGGGTATCCTGTGGAGCTGAGAGGCAGAGACGCGGCCGCCTCCGTCCCCTCGAAGCCAGGAGACGGGCGCTGAAGAGCAAAGAAAAACGGAAGCGCGCAGAGGCGTTCTTCCTCACATTTCCAAAAGCCTCAAGTCCAACAGTTCAAAAAGCCCTAGGCGCAAGGACCTGGAACCCTAAACCCGCCAATAGCACGTAAACTTAAACCAAAAACCCTAATTTTCTTAGGTGCTTTCTACAGCGAGCTCCTGGTTCGTAAGCCCATGTCAAGGCAGTTGCGGTAGTGATGATCATAGTCGCCGGTGAGTCGGCATCTTTCGAGGGAGGGTACACCTTCTTGAAGGATCATGTGACGTACCATATCTACTCCTATCCATTTTATATACTAGGACCGAGGATGAATGAGATCGGTCTGGGTCGCAGATGTAGGTCCTCCACCAGCACCCTTCCTTCATTGATCTGAGGCAGAGGCTTGAGGCTGTGGCTGTAGGGGTTTAGGGCTTCGAAGGTCATAGGGCTTTCGGGTTTAGGGGTTTATTGCTTTCGGGCTACAGGATGCGACAGGGTTAAGACTTTCCAGCCTTGTTACCCTCCTTGACTCGGACCGGCTTTGCACGGGGGGGCGCGGATCAAAACAGCAAGAAGCTAGAGCTTGATTGAAACGAAAGTCATGAAGCCTACTATAGCGGTCTGAATACATCATAATGGCTGCACCAACAAGAGCAACAGTTGCAATTTCAATATGGATGTTACAGCATCCCTAATAGCCCTCTACAGCTTTGGCTCTAGTATCTAGTATACCCCAAAGCCCCTTACTGTAAACCCAACAAGACCGAGGTCTGTCCCAGGTCTGCAAGCGCTGCGCAGAGATGCAGGTGCATCTGCTTGGTTTACGCGGTATCGAATAGGTTCGGGGTTCGATTTCTGGAGGTTTCGGGTTTTGGTGTTTTAAGGGGATCTTAGGATGTCATGGTTCTATAGGGCTCTTGGGGCCTTAGGGTGTAAGAGTTTCGAGGTTTGGCCCTAAATCCTTTGAAGGAATGTGAAGGAGCCGGCGAGGTTTCGCTTGAAATTTTGGCTCAAAACATGTCGCCGGGATGCCCCTAAATGCTAATAAACCCCTACACCCTTCTAAACCCTCAAGCACTGTTGCCTTGGCCCAATCGTAAAGACCCAACCACGAACATCAAGAAACTCTTCAATCGTGGTGGGAGCTTCCGTAAGCATGCAGATTTTGCAGTTTCCGAAGAAGCGACTAGTGGCGCCTGTACCACAAATTAGATTCAATCCCTTCTCCCGCAATGTAAAACGGAGCAAGATCCCCCCCATCCCCCAGTACAAACTCGAAACGCGTGTTGTTGTTATTTGCGTGCCCTTTGAATCTTTAACGATACTTTTGGAGACTCCTGCTCTGGCTCCTGCTCCTGCGGCGCCGCGGCTAGTGCTCTTGCTCCTAAAGCCCCCTGATTCAACCAAGGTGTTACAAAGCGGTGATGATTCCAGGGACATTTTCCAGAAAGCATTCTCAGTCGTAGGGGGCGTTCAAGAAACGGGGGGAAGGGATTAGTTATCGTATCATATACCTCAAGACCATGTTGATTCTATTTAGCCGGATTACTCACCCGTCTCGGCCAGGTGACGAATCCCTTGGACAAGTACAGCGTGTCCGGTCCTCATTGCTACTTCGGGTGGAAGCAGCTGGTAGTAGGACTAGGACTAAGACCAATGCATCGGAGCGGAAGTTATCGCGTTTTAGTTATTCATTTGCTGCAGCCGAACATGCGGGCTATGTTAAGTAGTTAGTTTCTAGATTTTCTTCAAAGCCCTGCAACAGCTTCTCCGTGACTGTCCGTGACTCGGAGGCCAGAAAGTTGGAAAGGTGTGTTGGGTTGTGATGTTGGTAGTGTGCCTCGATAAGGATTGACGAGTTTGCTTGTTGTAAATATATTAAGGCTCCCGCAATGTCAGGTGCAAAAGGCCAGCCTGTCTATGCCTGGAACTTCCACAGCTGGATGCACGGTGTGGACTTAAGCCCAAACCCTACATAGAGCCTGCACCGCACCTAAACCCCTGGCCGTAAGCACTCAGCTTCAAACCCCAGGACTTAACCCCTTACCCCTTAACCTAAGCCCTAAACCCTGCAAGCTCCAGCTCAACCCAAACTGGGCTCTGGTTAAGGAATGTAATCTGAGTTACCACAATAAGGAAACCATCCATATTATCAGTCACTCTAGATCCATGCTATGTCAACTTAAACTAGACTCCATAACAAGAACCCAGCAAAGCAGCAACAAGACCCCTCCGAGGTCTTCTCTTGAGTTCAACAAGACCCTTGCCCAGTACGAGGCCTGTTCTCTGCCGAACCGGTGGGTGTTACAAGAAACGTGATTGAGAGGTCCCCCTTTGTTTGGGGTTCCATATTACGGGTCCTTTAATCTGACGTGTCAAACCGCCAAAAAGTCTAAGACGCGTGCTGGATTTGTGGTTCGGCTTATTTCATGTGCAAGGCTCATACTTCCAGGATTTGGATTCGGTGTTTCAGGTGCAGGGTTCACCGTTTAGAGGGCTCAGTTCGGCAATTGGGGGAGGTTCCTTGCATCTTAACTCACCTAATACTTGCCATGTCGCACCCAGAAACCCATAACTGGTAATTCCAACGTTTCTGAACCCTAAATCACCAAAGCAACACCGTATTGCAGGTGGTGCCCCAGCCTCACCCTTGAATCATGGATCCCGGAGTGCGGAGACCCAGCTCCCCGAACAGCTGCAGCATCCCAGCCTCATGTGACCCGGACGCCCTGAAGCCCCCGATTCGCGGACAAGTCCCCAACCTCATCTCACCCTGAAACCCGAGATCCCCCCAAATAGGAAAAGGCTTTACAGGGTTTGTCATGAGGGTCCTGTAGAGCTGAGTTTAGTTGATGTTTAGTTGATCCAGCCGGTTCAGGTCTCTTGGGTTGTTGAGGCTTCTTGTGTAGGGGCTCTTGACGAGTCTTTGGGGGATTTCGGCTGTGGGCTCATAGCTATTGGAGGGAGGACATGATGCTGCAACATCCTAAACCCTGAAACCCTAAACTCTGATAAACCCTAAACTCTAAAACCTAACCTCTCAACTCTAAACCCCAAGCCCCAAACCCTAAACCCAAGCCTCAAAGCAGCAGCTCAAGGAGGATGCCGCTGTGCAGAGTGCTATTGCCGCCCTGATGGGCGCCCCTCCGGGTGGTGCTGCGGCGGTAACCGAGGTGGGACACGGGTTTAGGGTTCCGTTCAGGCATCTATAAGGGTTACTAAGTTACTATGCAGAGGTTTTAGGGGTTTAGGGTTTCGGGTTGAGCGGTTTCAAGGGGTTTGGGGTTTAGAGTTTGCGCTTGTCAGGTTTTCCGTAGGATCTGATAGGTCCTGATAGGTGTTCTGTTTTGTATAGGATGCGAGAAAGCTTCGATATACAAGGGCTTTAACAAGGCTTTCGGTTGCCCTTCATTCATTCGTTGGCTCCTATGTGCACATGTACCTTCATAGTACTTCACATTTGTTTATTTCATAACATACTAAGCTGTAACATATACATATATACACACACACATGCATGTATCTATACATGTGCATGACTCTACATTCTGGCCTAGATGTAATAGTTTGCAAAGCCCTAAACCAAAACACTAAATCCTCAACCTAAACCCTCATAAAACCCTAAACCCTCAACCTAAACCCTTATGAAAACCTAAACCAAAAACCCTAAAGCCTAAACCGTCAGGCCTCCCACAGGCTCCTCCTAGTATAGGAATTCTAACTGTATCTGCAGGCGGAAAAGAGTTCTTAAAAAAAGAAAAAAGTCAGGCCTCCTCTAGCCTGACTCCCAAGAAGCTGCTGGCCGCAGCCTCAGGCAACCTTCGCCTAGGGCTACTTAGAAGCAAGTTTTAAATTTTGTGTTATTATAATCCCTAAGAAACAGCTGAAATTATGAGTTTTGCTAGGGTTCTAAGTTCAGTATAGTTCGATTGAGGTCGCCAAACCCTAAGCCCGAAAACTTGAACCCTAAACCTGAAGCCCTAAACCTAAAAAGCCTGAAATCCCCAATCTTAAATTTACACCCTAAGTCTGCAACCTTAAACCCTAAAAGCCTTAAACCTTAAACCCGAAACTTAAGCCCTAAACCCTAAACCGTTGGTGCCTGGAGACTTGCGGGTTTGGTTTTGGGTTACGCGGTTTAGGGTTTATGGTCGGTTTAGGGTTTAGGGTTTAGGGATTAGGGTTTAGGATTTAAGGTTTAGGGTTTAGGGTTTAGGGTTTTAGGGTTTAGGTTTAGTGTCTCGGGATTAGGGTATTCCCAAAGGCTATTTGCTAAGGCACCTTTTTCTAGCCCTAAACCTCGGAATACACGTGCTTGAGGAATTGGAGGGTAATACTACTTGAGGCACCTGTTTTCAGCCAGAAGCCCTACACCAGAGGCCGGAATAATTCGGCCGGGGTTAGTGTTCCGTTATTGTTCCTGTGCAATTCTACTAGGAATGCAACCCCCCAAGCCCTAAACCCGGCTTAAGCTACATAACCCCCAGCCCTAACTCCAAAACGTAGCCCTTCACAATTCCGAGGACATCCACAAGTTCATGCTCACTGAGTATGAGAAGCTTGTCGGGGGCCTCAAGAAGCCTGTGCCAATCTGACACAAGAATCCCAGCGTTGGGCAAAGCCCAACAATGATACCCCCATAATCCTGTTCTTATTGCTGATGCACCTATATCATTAAGGCCAAGCCCTAAACCTCAGCCAACACCCAAGCCCTGAACCTGAAACCCACCAACGCAATAAACTAGAATCTCTGACAGGTCTAACGCTACGCCCCGCTAAAGCCTGAAGCAGCGTGAAGGCCCCTTTGTGGGGCCTGCTCCTAGCCAGCCTCAGACGTCTTTGGCTAATGCAAACACCCATCATTGACACCGTAAATCGTTCAGTATAGGGCCTAAATAATTTCCAAGACTATGTTGGGGGTTCCTTATTACAGTTATAGTATAATGGCCATGGCCGCCCAAAACCATTCTCTAATTATTAAGGCCCCTATAGCAGGGTTTAGGGTTTAGGATAGTTATTGCCTCGAGACTCGAAGAAGCTGAGGGTTTAGGGTTTGGGGTTCAGGGTCTAGGGTTTGGGTTGGAGTTCAGGGTTTAGGGTTTGGGTTGGGGTTTAGGGTTTGGGGTTTTTGTGTTTGGGGTTTGGGGTTTAGGGTTTGGGGTTTGAATCATGCTGCAGGATCTGTCGAACGCTCGCTGAGTGCCGCCTTGCAGTCCCATAGAAGAAGCCCAACTTCGATACGCCATACACTCCACCTCAGCCCTATGTATCCCAATCCGAAGCCCGAAAACATTTTGAAAGAATTGTAGCGTCTTCCAGCAAGGCCGGTGCCGACAAGGCATCCAAGGATGCCACGGTGCTGAGCTTCGCGGCGCAGGCTTTCGTGTAGAGCTCAGGGTTTATATGCTTTCACGATTTGGGGGCTTCAGTTTCAGATTAAGGGGCTCGGGATTTCGAGTGAGCGAGATTTGTGTGTGTGTGTGTGTGTGTGTTTTGGGGGTGCGAAGGTCTACCTCTGCTCTCCAGTGTAGCTCCCTTTTCTGGCTACGTGGTTCCTGTATTGCAGAGTAAAGACAAGGAATGAAGCTGGAGACTATGGGCAGTGTATGTAACGGAGATTTGAAGAGGGCAAAAAAGAAGTGTTGAAATTAGCGAGTTGCATACATGTCATGCGTGCGAGGGAGGGGGGCCTTGCGAGCACGGAATCTGTGAACCTCGAGCATGCCCTGCTTTGTGAAACGTATTGACGGTTACATGGATGAGTTGGCTTGGACATGTTTTTTTCTCTGGGTACTGCCGACTTGTTTTGACAACGATCTGCACTCAAAGACCTTCCTTCATTCACATGTCAGATGTTCAAGATCCTCATCTGCTGAGTGTTTCTTTGGTGCTGTTCACTGAATGCCATCGTTTCATGCCTTCTACGCTGCAGTGTACAGTAGAGGACTGCTGATGTAAAAATGATACGGGTTCGAATTTGTAGACAGACATAATATGAGGCCATGTATTAGATTGTACTTTACCCGTATACTACCACATATGATAGATAGACAATCGTACCTTGCATTGTGTTCTAACACACTGCATCGTTACAGGATTATGGGAACTCCTAGAGGAACTCTTATTGAAGCCTTGAGCCTTGAAAACAACCCTTACAGACACCTTGAAAAACATCCTTGACATATACAAACTCGTAGAGGCACGCTTACCTAGTAGTCGAGTAGGCAACCTTTAACTTTTTTGGGTAGTATAGTCCCTGTATAACCCCTATATAACCAAAAAGGTTAACCTTTAGTTCCCCAGGATACCCGACAAGTAGGTAGTTAAGCATTAAACCCTAAACCCTGTCTTAGCCCTAAGCCCTAAACCCTGATAAAAACTAAACCCTAAACCCCTACACCTTAAACTAAACCCTTCTAGAAACCCTTACGGTGGGGATTCGACTGCCGTCCTTTGGAGGCCTATGTCGCCGGAAAGACGGAAGCACAGTTCAAGATCGCGTCGAAGGAGCGCACATGCCACGCCCTTTTGAGGTATGTTTTTTTAAACGTTACAAATAGCGTGCCACACCTTTTCGAGGTTTAGGGCTGAAGATAAAGCGACAGTTGAGGCTTGAGTTTGCGGCTCAAGTATTAGAGTTCAGGGTTTCGGGGATTCTTTAGGACCGTTAAGGCCCTGTACCCTTCAAGTGGGCAATTCTCGGCAGCCATGAGTTCGAAACGAAACCTTATATGCCATGAAGAACTCGAACAGATCGAAATACTGCTGCATTAGGGTTTAGGGTTCAGGGTTTAGTATGTTCTGGTCAGTAGTAACGCTGTACTTGCCACAGCTCGTAGTAAGTGAATTTTGTGTGCGTTAGTCTGACTCCCGTTTCGATTTGATCTGTAGTCCCCCTAAGCATTGTAGATGTAAGAGTTCGAAAAGCGCGCGCAGAAGAAAGTGAGCCAGCCAGGCAGCCATGAAGGAAGCTAGCAAGCTGGCATGCTAGCTTGCAAGCAAGCCCTTAACCCTCTAAAACCCACCTTGTTACAGACTTTTATAAAGAATTCATAATAGGGAACCGTAAAAAAGTTCTATGGAGTCCAGGGCAAACTCATGTCCCAGGACATCGAGGACGCCATGCTGACTCATGAGGTGTGGTGCCCCAGTCGATTTCGCCGTCGTCGAGGCTTGCAGGTAGAAGGTGCCGGATACATAGGGGTTTAGGGTTTATAGAGTTGATTCATAGTAGGGAACTGCAGAGCTTATATGAATCACGGAGAAGTCCTCAGCCCTGGATAGATATTATAAATCTCTGAGAGCCGTCGGAAATGAAAATTTGCTTACCATCACGACTTTCCAGCAGCCTCTTCAGCCCAGAACTATGCCCATGCTCACGTTCTGAGGGTTCGGAACAACAGGTTAAAGCAAGACCCGTAAAGTTCTCCTAAAACCCGAAAACCTAAAACCGATGAAGGATCACAGATCCGCCCAGGGCGCGCTAACCAGCGATCCGGAATTTGCTGTCTCTCCGGCCTGTTCCATTGAGGGGCTGCCTGAAGTCGCGAGGGTTTGGAGTGCCCGGGTGCCGATATGGGCTTCGGGTAATGTAGGGGCCTTAAAAATTAGAATAGGGTTTTGGGGGTTCTAAATATAATTAGAGTATAATGGGCCCCAAAACCCTGGTCTAATTATTAAGGCCCCTACATGATGCATGTGGATAAGCTTATTTAGTTCGATGATCTTCGAGCATTTGCAGAGGCATCTCTCGCAATGGCGAGCTGCCTGACGTGCCAGGCCGTGAACAAAAAGCTGCAGCAGGCGATCGCCAAACTTCTCGGTGCCCAGCTCAGTCTCCATGCACGGCGCGTAGCATCGTGATGGAGGCCTTTGTACAAAATGTATGGCCCCATGGCTACTATAATATACTCTCATATAATATAACGTACCATCACATGCCATTGTACAACTTATGAGGTCATATACCATAGTAACACCAACCGTACTATGATGCCAAAGGGTCCAAGTATCATTATGGTATATACTTATATAGGCTATATTGGGGGTCTAAGTATCTACCATAACACTACTTGGACCCTTTTGGGATGCTACAATGATCATGGCATATCCCGGCCCCTCGGAGCTTTGCGCAGCCCTAAACCGTCAAACGCACCTATTTTCTTTGTCCAGCTCTACAAGGATACTATAAGGCCAAAGAGCGCTTTAGGGCTCCTTTAAATAAGGGGTTTAGGTTAAGGTGACACAGTAGATTTGCCACTCCAAACTGTGGAAAGCCCTGATAAACCTAAGCGTTCCCTAAACCCCATCGTTTTGTTCCGGATGCAGCAAAAAGCAGAAGAGGCATAGGGACCTGAGTTTATTACCAGCGCTGTTCCCTTGGGATCCTTTACTACAGTATACGACATTCAACCCCCCAGAACCCTCATTTTGATTGTTGAGGCCCCAATATAAACTCCAAGCTCCCTAAACCCTAAACCGTGCTCTCCGAGGTTAGACTGCCCTCCAGGAGCTCCGGGGCACCTTAGCTCAAAGCCGATCTCGCTGGTTGACTTGAGTCATCGGGGTCAGCTGTTCTGCGATGTAGGGTGCAGGCTTTCGAAGTTTCGGGGCTTTCGGGCTTAGGGACTTGGGGGTTTTGCTGCTTCAGCGCTTCAGGGTTTTAGCTTGACGGCGTTCGACCTTCGCGGAGAACGCTAGCGTGACTGTTACAACATGGTACCACAACCGCAACTATGGCCACAGGGCTGGGCAGTCAAGTGGTCAAGGTGGTCCGCGCTGTGGAGGAGGTCGTAGCCGTGGTTGCTTCGGACACCGGGAAGGTCACGTATGAGCAGTCGCCATAAGCCGAGTCTAAGCTGGTATTGTGAGAGAGTCGTCTCGTGATTCTGTTTGGCATTATTCTAACTTTTGTTCAAGCGCATGCTCACTGTTTCTCGTTATAGACACCTTTCACTGTTTCTCGTTCGTTACCACTTGTGCTTGGACATTCTGACTTCGTGCTATCAGTCTTAAGTTCACTATTGGGTTTGAAGAAATGCGCCACAGACATAACCAGACCCTCAATCCCCAACCCGAAAAAGTTGAAGCCCCCCCCACACCCGAAACCAAACCCTAGAACCCCAAACCTTAAAATACTGTGATAGCGGTGATAGCATTCTTCTAAGCCCCATGACACTAACCCATATTATGCTGGTGCCCAACAATGAACCGTAGGCGAGGGCGATGCGAGGAAGTAAGGAAGCAAAGACGATTGCTCCCGGAGCCCTGCGTGACCAAGCCATATGATCTTATGGAGTCTTATAATATGGCTTTTAGGGGATATATAAGGGCGGAACAATCAACCACTCCTCAAACTAACAACCCGCAGTTACTAGCCCCCCTAGACCATCCTATCCCAACGTTGCGGCCCGTTCTACCCCAGAGCATTATCACCGCAAGTCACGACTCTTGACCCAAACGCCATTGGACTCGCCATTGAACCTGTTGATATCAAATTGGTTTTGTTGTTCTCAATGTTTTGACACCTATCTGCCATTCCAACTGTAATTTCTGTGATACTTGCAACTACTGTTGCGGTATACTACTGTTACCAACTAGTTAGGTGCTGTCACGATGGGTAGTACTATGTATCAGTATTTCGATCACCAGCGCGGTCGCCATTACCTTTACCAAGTACTGCCATGTTTCTACTGCTCCTGGTAGCACCAAAACCGGCACCTCACTCAGTTTAGATTTTGTGATTGAACCTCAGCAACATTGCTTTGTGCCGTAGAGACTATAATCATTTACTGCCGAGTAAGTCGTAATCGCATACGTACTTTATCTCTAGCGGAGTGTCCCCAAACCCCTATTCAAATTAGAGGCCCATGCAAGGTTTAGGGTTTAGGGTTTACCTTAACCCAGAAGGACCTACCTTTTTAAGGACTTATACAAAGAACTCATAATAAGGAACCCTGAGAAGGCAGGTTATTCAGGGTTAAGGTAGGTGTTTTGATTACTGCCAGCTCCCTCCAACCTTCCAGGTCGATCTCCGGAACTGAGAGCCAGTCTATTGCCACTTAGGGCTTAAGCCCTGAATCCCTAAACCCTTAGCCTTAACCCAAGATCATCTACGCACCTGATGTAGCCCCTTGAAACAGTGTCAGCTACCCATGGTCCCTGAGACACAGTTTTCACAATGAAGTTCATACTTTGAAGAGCTCGGCTTGTGCATAGTTGGTGCGAAGCATTCTACGCAAGCTCGACCCAAGTGGCTGGCGGCGATTACCCCCAGAACTCCAAGCCCTAAATCTTTAGCCCTTGACTGTGGTATCACGATATCTGTTTGCAAGAGCTCTTTCGACGTCGAGGCAATAGCGTAGGTAGCCCATGTCGTGTCAACAAGACTCACGAGCTTCTAGTTAGAGTTGTTCTAGCTTGGAGTCTTTTCAGAGGGTTTGGCTGGTAGCAATCTGCTAATCAACATCGGCTGAAAGGGAAGAAGATTTAAAACAGAACAGAGGTCGGTAGTGTGTCGGTTGAAGCGATAAGGCTTCACAGTATATGGCATTGACGGTTTAGAGATTTTAGGTTCTTGAGTTGGGGTGGCTATAAGGCTTTGTAGGGTTGTAAGTGTTTAACGTTCAGGACTAGAAGTTGTCTGCGAGTATGCGACGTTGGTTTGGGGGCTGAAGGGAGATTTAAGCGGTTTCATTACGAGAGTAATCAGATCCCAAGAAAGAAATGAATGGAGAGACCAATGTAGTGATACTCACATTGAATGGTACAATAATGGTCGTGGTTAGCAACAACTGTGGAAGAGTCAAGTCAAGTGCCTAGTAGCAGAGTAAGTAAACTTTAACCTTTTTTTGGGTCGTATAGGCCCTATATACCCCCTACATAACCAAAAGGGTCAACTTCTTACGTCGGCATAGTCAGAGCATCCGTCGGCCACGTCGGCATGGTAGTTGCTACTGCAATGGCCGTGACAACTCGAATTGCAAAAGGGACATCTACAGGCATAGCATTTTAGGGTTCGGGTGTTAGGCTTTAGCGTTTAGAGCGCAGCAGTTGCAACAGTTATCGTCACCAGATCACAGCACCTTCTTGTTGTGAGGACGCAGCCGCAGAATTCGTAAGACGGTGCTGCCGGCCACTTCAATCCCGGTAGGCAATGATGTGCGGGGGCCACCCGCGCGCACGCCATTTTCCTTTCCATCTTGCCTGCATGCGATTTGGCGTCCCGCCGAAATTTTATCGCCCGTGGGCCAAAGAGACAGTGTGGCTGCCTCTGCGCTACCCTGTTTTGCCATAGACCTTGCCTGAGGAAACATGGGGTTTGCATGAGTCGTTTCTTTACTTTAGCGTTCGAGTCCTGTCCAATAAGGATCCGGCTATGTAACAATCTCTGCTGCAATCCATGTTTGGGTCCCGTAGTTATTGAACCTCTCACTCACATTGGACTGGTATTTGGGGGTTCCTTCAATGCGAAGAGGGTGTTAGTTTCATTTTCCCAAGAAGCCCTTAATCACATCTAAAATGCTACAGGCCCTGCCCTATAAAACCCAAGCCTCAAGCACGTCAGGTGGAAAGCTGGCAGTGTCGTATATAGTTGTAAAGTAATCTATCCCAGACCCACTCCGAATATCTAAGGATGCGTGCCCGAAATATTGATGCCGGTCAGCCCCAAACTGTGCAGACCTTTCAGCCATCTTGGAACCTTAAAAACATCCTACACCAGGCAAGAAGCCAGGGCAAAGCAGCAGTAAGCTCAGGGTTGCCCCAATGCCAGCAGAGCAACTCGCACCGTGCCGTGACAAAAGAGGTGTTTAAGAGCTTAAGTTTCGGGCATGGGGAGAATTGGGGGTTTTAAGAGCTTCGGGCGTAGGGTTGGTGCTCAGTTTTGCAGCACTTACCAAGAATGATTTCATGTCGATTGAGGCATAGCGATGATGAAGACCATACGAGTCTCTCCGGCAGCTGCCGTGTGTTGCCTCCAAAAATACAGGACCCTAATATAGTATCCTGAATATTAGGATCCTTGTTTTAGGACCCCAAAGTAAGCTACCCCTAATTTTCGGAAACTCATGTATCTTGGTGTTCAGCTCTAGTACAGAATCATCACAATCAACTTGTTTCAAGAATCTCACGACTGTGCTGCCTTGGATTAGACCAGGTTCTTCTCGCTGAGGAACCGTCGTTAAGACCTTCATGGTGCTAAGTAAAATAGGGGCCTCAATAACTACCTGTAGTTTGGGGTTCCTTATTATGAGGAGAGTAAAATGGGCCCCAAGACCCTATTCGAATTATTAAGGCCCCTACAATACCACGGGATGGTCTTGGCTGCACATGCTTTCGACCCTCTCTTGGCGCTTTCATCTATGGGCCTGGGTCTGGTCGAAGCAGTAGTAATAGTAACAACTGAAAAAAGTACGAATAGAATAGTAATGATAGGAATGATCGTAATAATATATATATATATATATATATATATATACATTAGTTACTAATGAGAACAGTTGTGATGTTCAGGGCTTGGGGGTTTAGTGTTTAGGGCAATCGTGCTCGCAGTCGAAAAACCTGCAGCGACGACAGAAGTGAGATGTATCGAGCACAACGCGAGACGTAAGCCCCGCCTGTAAGATGCCATATCGTCCAAGTTCTAAGGTTGGCATCACGTACGGATCCCTGGGTGAGGAATTTGTCACGAAAGAAATGAACGGTAAACAAACCTAGGCCTTATACCCGAAACAATACATGTCATAAACCCTAAACCTTCTTCAATCCCTTTACCCAGAACCCTTAAACCCCTAGCGCCGCTAGTGCTAAATGTGAGCCCCGAGATCTCTTGCTGCAGGTACAGAGCTGAGGAGGGTGGCAGAGGAGGCCCGGCTTGGTGTAGGAAGGGTTTAGGGTTTAGGGTATAGGACGGTTGAGTTTAGAGGTTGAGGTGGATGGTTAGCAAAGGGGCCTAACTTATTACCTGAAGGTTCTTTTTTGTAATTATAGTACAACGTGCCCCAAAACCCTATTCCAATTTTTAAGGTTCCTATAGTAGTTGAATTAGGGTTTAGGGCTTGGGGATGAACTCCCTCCGGCTCCTGCAGGAAGATTCAGGCTGTCTTTGTTTCCGGGAGTGCTGGGAGCGGAGACATCGTTGGGCTGGAGATACACCCCAAAGCCGAGCCTTTTGAATTGGCTTTAGGGTTTAGTGCATCTAGGGCTGCTGGAAACACGGTCTCATCGTCCTGCGCAATCGCACGCTCACCACGCCGTAATTGGTACAAAGTGCCGTAACCACCTACCAGAAAAATATGAAGGGATCTAGCTGCTGGATGCCGAGGTTGAGGAGGCCCCCCCCAAGCGGAAGAAGCCCCGACTTAGCAATGTCGGATAGGCACAGCAGAAGTTTCACGATGCCGAAGCTGCGTGGGTGCCTCCCTGAGCTTGGGTGCGGCCTCAGGGATGCTACCATACATATACATATATATATATATATACATAGATAGGTAGTCT